AAGAGCGAGCTCAGGGCTCTCTAAAAACTTGAATAACTGTTCAGAGATTCAGTATTTTACTAAGTGCTTCTATCAGTAGAGGCACAAATATTCTTTATTCTTTGCTGAATTGCTTTTCCCCTTCAAAAGTTCTGATGCTTGTTGGTTAGTTTGGTGTGATGGTTCTTCAAGGAATGATTGCCCATCACAGTTATTTTGGATGATGCAAAATATAGGTCTTGAGTGGGTGGATATACTACACCCAGATCAGTGAGTTTGTACCTGAAAATCCTGTTATGTATAATCCTTATTCCTTTGATTTTAGGAGAAACCTGAAGTCGTACTTGTGTCCAGTTTGTCCAGTATGGAACTCCATACCTATCCTTTTTCTCTATAGTATGATAAACCACTAACATGGATCCAGTTTGGACCTGGATCTAATCTTTGCAGCCCATGTTTATCTCAGTTGCATTAGTTTAGAAAAAGAACACAAAACAAAACAGAAAAAGTGCTGTCCCCAACCCCTTAACCAGCTGGTCTTTGACACTGCAATTGCTCTCCTTTTCGTACTGCAGATTAACTTACTACAAGATCTGGGCCACAGGTAAGAAGGTTCTCATTTTAATTAGAAAATAGTGAAAGAGAGGACATGGATTTGTATATACATATATAGTTTACTGCTTTAAGCATTGCATCAAAGGCGCAAAACCAGCAAGAAATACAAAAGGGTTTTATATCCTCATTCCAAACATTTAAATTTTCAAGCTCCAGTTACTGGCTAATATCTCTAATTTATTGTTCCCTATGCAAATGTTGTTTGTATCAAAAGCCTTTCACGAATGACTGACTTCATAGCACTCTTCTGTTGACAAATGTTCATTCTAGCATCCCATGAGTGTCCACACAAATGCATTAGTATAAGGAATGTGAAAAGGTATTTTAATAAAGAAAACTCTGAATTGAACTTCGCACTGGATCTCGCATCTTCATAGTAGGGACCACTTGCAAATGAATGCCTGTAAAATTTTTTATTAGTGATGAACCATATAGATACATTGTATAAATTTACATATGGAAGATGTCACCTCTGCAACAAGTGATTCCAGGCACTTAGATCTGTTGTCATGAACCAGTTTAGCAGCAGGTAAATGCACTTAATTGGTTTAAGAATCGAGCATGGGAGTGCTTGCATTCATGTAAGTCCTTTGCTAAATTACAAAGATAAAAGTTCCTCCACAAATGTTTCCACAGTCCCTGGCACAGCTCAGGAAAGCACTGGTTTCTGGGAAGTTTCAGAATGTCATCTGGGCATGATGGAGCAGCAGTGGGACAATTCATTGATCTATTTCAGCTTGTCTCTTGGCTGGAATAATCCTAAACTATTTTGGATTTAGCCTGTAACAACAGTTGTTTGCTCTACTGAAACATACCTGAACTGTCCACTTAGAGTGCTGTGCGCTGCTTTGAGCACTTCTGTTTTGTCTTACAGATATACCAAAAATATTTTAAAATATGGGACATTAGATCAGCACACATCTCCAGTGAAGACAAGGTTAATGGGCCCATGAAGTAAACTGCTACACAAGGAGTCCAAATGTCCTGTTATGAGCGTGTCTTCTGGATGCCAAACAAGCCTCATTGTCCCATTGGAAACATATGGCAAATAAGTCTTGAATCTGTTACTGAAATGGATTAAAGCTCAGATTAGAGCTCAAACAATACGTTATTGAAAAACAGCCACAAAAATTCAGATTTCTACGTTGTCACCAAGTTGAGCTCAGCAAATATAAAATGAGGTGTGTTGCTAAATATTTACTTTTTGAGAAGACAGAAGGGATGGAACATCCCCTGACAGCACCGCATCCTGCTTGCACTAAGCACGCTCAGGAAGAGGTTTACCCACTCCACTGCCTTACTTGGTTAACTTTATATTTTTGCTATTGCAGAGCAGAGGCTTTAGGGATGAGATACAGCAATGCTTTAAATCAACAGCCTCTCCTTCCTTGCCACTGATAATTTTTTTTTCATTTTCAGCAAACTAGCAGCTGCTTATTTTCTTGTCTAATGTAAGTATGCTTCCGTGTGCCCTTTCGTGGAAAAATCAGTGGTGATGTGCTGCCCGGTTCGTGCTGGCAGCTACCGGCCAGGGCCGCCCGGCTGCCACCCCTTCGGTGTCACCCGGGCCCTGCCGGGGCCCTGCCGCCCCTTTGCTGCTCCGCCCGCAGCACCCGGCGGCCTCCGGCGTTGATCCGGTGCTGACCCCTGGTGGCAAGCGACCTGCGGGGCGACCGGGGTGGCGACGGGTCCCTCCTGCCTCCGGGGTGGCCCCTGCCTGGGCAGGGCAGCCAGCGCGGCCCGCCGTGCCTGAGGGCTGCCTGCATCGGGCTGGAGGGGGCTCAGGCGGGGCAAGCAGGGTGCCAGTGTGCGGGGGGCTGCAGGTCCGACCCCGGTTTCTGGGCCAGGTTCTAACTTTCTTACGCCTACGTGCATAAACTGAGCCTTATGACTTTTATTCCTGCAGCGGTATGATCTCTTCATCTGGACCTCCACCACTCTTAAAGAACCGTTTTCAAAACACAGTGTAAACCTCCCAGCCATGACCACCACCTACTCTCGCATAGGTTAGTGAATTGTTCGTAAATGCTGGGGCACTGCTTCTGCACAGAGTGAACACCCTGTCCATCGGTGGGTGAATAAACCCCAAATTTTATTTACTTTTCTGGGGTGTTATGTGCTTGTTCTAACTGCTTCTTTGTGAGTGTGGTTCAGTTCAAGTTCTTCATGTTGCAATGCATCATTAAGCTGTCTTGCATCATAAGCCCCCAGCTTTTGGGGGTAGGGGAAGTAATGCCGTCAGATGGACTACAGCCGTTCTGTTGTGAGGGAGAGGACAGGTACAGAGAAAGGAAACAAAGTTTGAGAAAAACAGAGGTATCAAATGAAAAAAACCCACCAATTAAACTAGAAATCAAACTGAAGGTAATAAAGTATCAGTACAGATTTAAAATGCTAGCACATTTTGTTATTTAGAATTTCAAGGCCTTTCTGAATAGACTGCTGAAAGCAGAATAAACATCACTTTTACTGTTACGTGGAGGTAATAAGCAAGTTGTCATGTCTAAAGAATCACAAAGAACGGGGCTTATTGTCTTCATGCTTTGAAATGCTCCACTCTAAATCACAGGTGCTCCCATGAAAAAAAGCTTAGAGAGTCTAGCAATCATGAGAATGTGGCTTGCATGGGAAGCTCCAATTAAATGCGAGCATTTATATTTATACAGGTAATTTGTTTTCTCACCAGCCACAGAGTGGGAAGGCTGAAAAAATTCTCACCATTGCAGGAAATAATCACTGTAGTTAAGTTTTAGATTTAATAGCAAAAGAAATCACGGGTTTCTCAGGGAGAGAGTCACCTGCAAAGTCTGATGACAAACAGAATAACAACATGAAACTGAAATGAAAGATTTAGCACAAATCAGCAAAGGTCTAGGCAGCCACTGCAAAGGCACTCAGAATATGCCCTGATCGCCCTGGGATCTGCAGTAGCACTGAACTGTGCCAGAAGCTGTAACGGTGATTGTTAGAAATGGACCTCACTTGGTATCCTGGGTCTGACCACATTGCCGAGGTTACGAGGAATTCAGATCCAAAAGGTATTGTTTGAGGAATAGTTCCGCAAATAAACTATCACTTCCAGTAAAGATAGAACCTGGCACTGAAATTAATAGATTAGTAATATATTTCTGTGTAATCTTGAATGTGTAAGAGTACTAGATGAAATCAGGGCCTCCTTTTGTGTAATGAAAATGCAGCAATTTTTTCACTGAACAAAACCCAGGAGTGACAAGTGTGACAGCTCACCGTCCTCTGGTTACTGCCTTGATTTTTCTGTAGTTGTCTTTTTGTTTTAATGTTTTACTTGGGAGATAAAAGGAGATCTTGGCATGAAGGCTTATTACAGGGAAGAAAGAAAGTGAAAAGAAGATGAAAGGAAAGAGAGGGGGGAGTGAGCAGGGCTGGGGGAGAGAACTCCCCCACACTGTGGCAGGTTTGGGAAGGAACAGCCCATCAGCCCAGTCACCTTAACGGCTCCACACTTCATGGTGTTGGCGATGCTCTGGGGAATGTGCTGTGGCAGAATCAGTGTTGTGGAGGTGGCCTGTCCCGAACATTCATGTGTTTATAGTAGTCCTGTGACTGCTAGGACAAGTAGAAAATATACCTGTTAATAAAAAGTACTTTTGCAGGTAACAGCACCGCTGATCCAAGAAGACAATAGGTTCATTTCAACTGTTGCTGTCGGTGTGTTAGTCCTGCACGGGGACGTGTAGTCATGAGGCACTGAGGGGCCTGTCTGATACGCAGCTGCTCCAACAGACGATGATATTGACACTGGGAGTGTGTGCCTTCAAAAGAAAACATCATATTACACTGTTATTTAGCTGGCATAATCCAAGCCCCGTTCAGTGCTTGGAGAGGAACTGTAGCTGCTGAAATAGCCTGTTTCCACAAAGCACTTATCAATACTTGCATAGGGAGAGCTTGGCTTTAAATCCTCTGCACTCGCTTTTTATTTATTCATTTTTTAACTACACG